ATACTGCGATTCCGGGAACCGGCGCATATTCATATTTTCAAAAGAACTCATTACGCGGAGGCCAGCGTTTACCGTGCGGGGCGGTGTTTACATCGCGGCGCCGAGCATAAGAAGTATTATATCATTTCTTATACTCGGTAACCGTATCTATTCCTTCGAATTGTGTATACATTTCCGAGAATTTGTAATCGAATTCTCGGTACACGGATTAACAAAAGAAATACCGGCCGAGCAATGCTCTTAAGCCTTGCACTATTTCAATCTTTAAACATACCACTCCCCTTGCGGGAATCCTGCAACTAAAGAACGCGAAAACAAATGTAAAACCAAATGTCACTCACCGACCGGTCCAGGAATCCAACGACTTCTTTACATGTTCAACCAAATCTGCCGCGTTGTCCTTGTGTGTTGTCCGTCTAGACGGGGATGATGATTGCGGTCGTGACCTACGACTCTCCCTCCGTCGTTTCAGCGCCGGTCGCCGTTCCGGTGGACCCTGCTGACGTTTTTTTCGTGCTTCTTCCGTGCCCTTGAGTCCAGCGAGGTGGTGGACGGACCCACCTGTCCAGCAGCAGGAATGGTTGCGGCTGCCGCGGGAGGGATCACCTTGTACTGTATGGACGTCCGGTATTTCGATCGGCGAAAGGTCTATATGACGCGAACGATTTGAGGATCCGGTCATTGCAGGGGGTTCCGTCTCCTTGGGGCTCTTTTTCGAGATTCGGTATCCCTTTGGGAGGCTTGATCTCGGCGCCTCCTCCCGTGGATCCTCTAGACCCTCTGGAGAGGTCTGGGTGCCCTGCAAGACACACGCTTCACCTGGGTTACTGGCACCTTGGAAACCAGGTACCTACCTAGAGTGTTTTACTTTGCAATTATAGTCATAAATAGGTACTTAAGCAAATGCGGAGAAGTATTGTCAAGTGCAATAATGAACAATATTCAGTCACAATGTAAAGGTGTAAGAAAATAAAAATGCAAGAGCCAGAGTGTCACATCTGGTCAGCAGATTCTCGGATAAAAAAATTTTTTAGCTTTTCAAGTGCAATAAAAATGTGGACCTGGACGAATGCGGAAAGGCTTTCCTTCGAACTCACGCTCAGTCGAAGTTTGGCAAGAACGAGCAAACCATCGTCACCAGAGAATCATGTCTGAGCAAATAGATGATGAACAATTAATAGAATTAGTGCGTGGATATCCGGAGGTATATAATTTAAAATCACCCAAATATATGAACGTAAAGCACAAGGCTAAAGTGTGGGAGGAGATAGGAAAGAGACTAAATGTTAATAGTAAGTGTATTGACAACTTAACTTTTATTATATAGTTTGATTACATATTTAGAAATTGTGTTTATTACAAGAATTTGAATCATACTAGTCATATCTACGAATATACGTAATCGACGACTTTCCTTTGCATCCAATCGCACCCGAAACTAAAAGATCCGCCCCCTTTCATTTGTCGTACATATGGCTGTGCAACTTGACGTGCTGTCAACGTTGACTGTCATGCAAGTTTCAAAATTGCCCGCGCTCCGCGATCACGTATGGTACGTGCACGACCTGTCGCTTTCTTTAACTTTCGTGATGTTTCAACAAATTTTCAACAACATTTCGCCTTGTATCTATTAATTTTGAAATTTTCGGAATACATGCCTTCTCATCTTCAATTCAGAATCAGTTTCATCTCTCCTTCGTTCGATTTCTTTGCACGTCCCATTTTTGTGATTATTAGCAATAATTCTTAGTAACAAATACAATAAATTATTTACTACACGTAAGACTACAGCATAATGATTACAACGTTATATATCAAATACTGACTTAAATATGAAACATGCCCTATTATTTTGTTGCACTTGTGTTGAAACAAGTAGAATGTAATTCCTATAAGACGATTTGTGAGATATACCGGAAATTGTGCGTGTGTTTGCGTGCGTGTGTATGCGTCGTAAATGTGTGTGTCCAAGTTGAATTGTAAGAAGAAGACAAGAGTAATTAAAAAACCGTTCATCATTACAGGTACAGTATGTAAAATGAGGTGGCGGATTCAAAAATTAAATACAAAAAGTGGGCAATGCGCAAAATATGTGAAAACGTACAAATACTCTGGACAGCTCACATTTCTAAATTCTACTTTAGATTGTAGAGAGACCATGGGGAACGTGTCTCAAAGTGAAAAACATTGTGGTAAGTACTATACTTTTTTTTTAGTATTTTGTTTGTGAACACATTAAGCACAAATAGAAATACATATGTACAGACACTATATCAGAGAAAGAGAAGGTAGAGATGCCAGTGGAAGAGGAAGAAGAGAAAGGAAGTGAACCCGAGGCAGGCCTGAGCCAAACAACGGGCAATCGTGGAAAAGAAAGAAAACGCGAGGAAACAGGGAATGAAAACACGAGACTTGTGCTGGAGTACATAGAAAAACATGAAAGAAAGCGCAGTTCAGTTGACGCGTTTTTAGTTTTATTGAAATCAATGATGGAGCAATTACACGAGGAGGAGTTTATGTTGTGCAGAACTCATATATACCATTACCTGCAATCAGTCTTAGCAGGTCAATATGAAAAAATATATAAAAATAAAAAAGAATAAAAAAATTCAGATTTCTTTCTTCAACATTTATTTCTATGTGCATACGTCAAATGTGCTCCTCTTGCCATGGCACGCTGTCAGCTTCCGAAAGGAAGTAATCCTTAAATTTCTCCCTCGTCGAAAGTGCCTCCGCCTCCTTGATGAGACAGGTTCTCGAGAACATTCGTGACGATCTCTTTCGGTATTAATGTTCCGGCCGTCACGTTGATCGGGTCCTGATGCAGGTCGCAGATAAAATTGTGCAAGATGCAGGTGGATAAAATTATCTTGTCTGTATTTTGTGTTTTTGCCCGCAACCGCCGTTGGTACACGCGGAATTTTTTAGCTAAAATTCCAAACGTGTTGTCCTCGGTACGCTTTGCACGAATCAACCGATAGTTGAAGATCCGCCTATCGTGTCTTAACTCGGCACCCGGATATGGGCGCAAGAGGTACGTTTTTAGCGGAAACGCCTCGTCGGCAACGATGACGTGCGAGGTGGTAACTTCGCTGCCAGGCAATTCCCTGTCCTTGGACACATCCAGAGTGCCTGCCTCCAGTCGTCGGCCCAGCACGGAATTGGCGAAAATTCCCCCATCGCTGCTCTTTCCATATCCCCCGACGTCCAGAGCGATGAATTTATAATTCGCATTAACTAATATCAATAATACAGTGGAGAACGTTTTCTTATAATTATAGTACTGCGATCCGAAATTGGTTGGCGCTTCTATTACTACATGCTTTCCATCTAATGCGCCAATGCAATTTGGAAAATTCCATTTCGCCCAAAAGTCGTCCGCAGTTCTTTTCCATGTGTCCTTTGTGGGTTTTGGTATTACCTTATGTAATAATGTACTTACCTTACTTAAATAGGACGCAAAGAACAGATAAGGTCCTTTATACAAAGAGCCAATAGCGAACGACGAACCGATAAATACGTAGAGAATCCATGACCAATGACATGTCTATTTTCCCAAGTTCTCTCTTTTCTTTCATTCGCCCTATCAACTTCCGTTTCATGGATACGAAGTACATCCCGTGATCCTTCGACAGTGAAAGAATCATCTATAAGAAATAAAAATATTCTTCTCTTGTGCTTCCCGTTCACACTTCGATAAGTTATTAAATTATTGAATTCAACATCTCAAAATGTAAGCAATAAAATTGATATCATACAAGATCGTAAATTACATTGTCTTGAAG